TGAGTTGGACACCAGCCTGGGCTCCAGTGAGTTCAAGGTGAGTCTCAACCTCACAGCGAGACCCTGTCTCAAAAAAACAAAAACAAACAAAACGTTGAGGATGTAGCCTAGTGTTTAAAAAAAGGCACCGATTAGGTCAATGGCATAAACGGCATGCTTACATTTGGAGATGGTTAAAGCATAGTCTGCATTGAGTAATTTTATGGTTACTGGAGTTTTTACTTGAAAAGATCTTATCTTTCGATGTAAAATCAATAGAGCCTCCAGATATAATCTCTGCAATGACATTTCATATTTACCCATTTTTACACATTTCTAAATACAGTTTTGCTAAAAAAGAAAGCTCATAGATGAATAAAATGTTTGGGAAAGTAGCCATCCAAACCAACAAAACACGTGCCTGGGCAAGAGCCCCAGTAATATTAATAAGCGGAATGACTAAGGTTTAGTACTGTGCTCGCCTCGGCAGCACATACAATAAGGTTTAATGTTATCAGTTATTACCGTAAAGTTTCTTTCTTTTGGTGCAGATGAGAGGACAGAGGCAAAAGAAGCCTTTATTTCGGGCACAGGAGCGCTGCAGGAGAATGCAGGAAGCCTCTGAGGAGGAGGCAGTTGGACCAGCACTTTTCTTGGGCTGGGCGGGGTGGAGTTTATATGGCGGTTAAGGTGCCATAACAAGAGCTGATTGGGGAATTGTTGGCATGCGCAAAAAGGAAACAGGAAGTTGAGGTTAGACTGGGAGAAGAAGAAGGCGGAAGTTGGTCTTGGAGTGACACGCTGTGTTGTTTTGGACGCCACGCTATGTTGGATCCTCACCGTGATGACCTGGCAGATTTTTTTACATGGGCGGAAATTACTATTCTTTCATTTACTATTACTTACAATTACTATTTCTTTCAGTGAAACAAAAATGTAGAAAACCTATGAAAAATCAACAGGCCTGCCTGCGGGTTCTTGGCAAATGGGCATTTTAACACTTCATGAAAGGAAGAGGAGCAAAACAGCTTGGAAGGTTGCTTAGAAAGAACTTTATTTAGAATTCTCCTAAAGTTTTTCCAGACAACAAAATTCTCTTAGGACAGTACAAGGACCTACTTATAGGAGAGGGAAATTTTGAGGGAAAAACGTAAGTTGAGACTTTTTTATTTCAGCAACCACTCCAGCCTCCTGTGGCTCAGAGCGGTCGGAGTCCATTGCAGGGTTCACCACATAACAGCAGTGACGTGTCAAACAGATACCGTGTAATAGTACTGAAATGCTTGCGTCTGGGTAACATTGAAGCACAAAGGTGTACACTAAAGTGTAGCTGCTGCCTCCCAGAGCTACAGCTGGACCAAGACGGTGAA